CACTGTAAACATCGCTCTGATACCAATCTGTCACACCCCCAAACCAGACGGTGGAAACGTCGGGGGTGGAGGACTTCCATTTGTAGTATCACAACACATGCATTATAGTAATCAGAGTACAACAACACTGTATTTAAAAAAAGTATAAGTATTTACATGTGTTTCATCATAGTATACTGAAACCAATAGTTATACAAAAGAAGAAGACAAGACATAAATAGCTCCCTCTTCTCAAAAGCTCGGGAGTACCTGTCTACTGGTTCCCTTAGAATACAAGTAATTTGAAAAGAGAGTATCAACATAAAGTTGAGTGAGTGCATAAGTATTTATGTTTGAATGAATGTTTTCTGTTTCCTGAATATGAAAATTATTCCAGAAAATCCTATATTTTTGCTGTATATGAAAAGTAGTTTTGATTACATAAAACCGATCTGTTTGTAAACCAATGTTCTGTATTTGTATTCCTTTTGTAAACTTATATCTGAGAGTGTGCCTGGTTTCATCAACTGTTATTGTAAACTGTAAGGTAATACTATAAATTGTATCTTGTAAACTAGTACTTTGAAAATGTACTTATGTTTAGTTAATTATACACTAACGTATTGTTAATATCTTTTATATGAGTTATTATAACCATACTGACTAGATGGCATGACCCAACGCTATGAATGCGTTCAAAGCTGTTGATAAAACACTGTCACTGTAGGCGTGTATGCCTGACTGTAGCTAGCAGTCTGAGTGCGGGGTTGTCAATCCCAATATAGATCTATACACACATTGTTTCGATCCCCGGCTGGAGATTCTGGTTATAATGTCAGGACTTTAACAATATTGTTTAAATGAATTAAACAACCTGTATCAACTGACTCATAAAAAGCATATAAACGTTACATGTATAATAGTTATGAAAACCCAATCATTCTGAAATGAATGATTGACAGTATGTTCTTGAATTAGTATTCTTAACATGTATCTGAAATATGTATATCCTTGATTAGTTTTGAATCAAACCTTTGTTCTTGTAAAACAATGTACTTTAGTATAATTGAATCGTGAATTACTGTTCTGTGTATCATAAATTATACCTATTATAATTTATATGTACTTTCTGAATTGATACCGAGTATTCATGAATGCAACCCCTTGCTCCATGTTACAAAGGGTAATTGAACTTAATGAACTAATTTATACTTGTATACATATACAATTATATATAAGTAAAATTTAAATGACACTCGGACAAATAACCGATTATGTAATCCCCACATCCAAACAGGAAAAGGAACCAAAGTGGGTTCTCAGTCCTAAGTCTTTAAATCTTATTTATATAAATATATATCTACAAGTATGATTTCTGGGAGAAATATAAGTTTATAAAACATTTAAAAGATGTTTAATAATTTGAAATACATTTGGTGGACTTGATGTCTTTTTGATACAATCTTGAAAACCATTTGATGATAACTGAAATCCATTTTGATAATTATTTGAAACCATTTGTTTTATACACAAAATCTTTGTGTTAGACTTGTATTCCCCCTTAAAACAGTAAAAACTATGAAAATACGGGGGTATGAACTCACCTGAAGTGAGTGATTCGAGTGAAAGGTCGATATAGGATGCTAAGTGTCAAGTGAAGTCTTGAGCACAAACGGATCCTATTAAGCATATAATGACACCATATATGGATATAATTAGTGTATATAAAACAACTATTATGATAGGAAACCACTTTAGGGACTAGGAAAACACTTGAATTGAAGTGTTACAATCACATGTGATTGCATTAAAGGGGTTTACGGCCACACAAGGGTGTGTACGACCAAGGTGTGTACGGCCAATGTTGTGTACGGCCAAGATGTGTACGGTCATGGAGTGTACGGCCGTACACTCATGGACGAAGCATGCAAAAAGGGTGTTTATAGCCCTATCTTGCATCCATTAAGGGTTCACGATCTTATGTTGGAACATGAGGTGAGTTTGAGGCAAAAACATGCACTAAACAAGGGTTTACGGTCATATGAGGTGTGTACGACTGTACACCCTTGGTGTTCATGCATTAGATGACGAATCAAGGCTAGGAACCAAGTGTTTCTCAAGCTTAACTAGCAGATAGAAGAGATACTCACACTTTTGAAGGCTTCTAAGGAGTTCACGGCCCAAGAACAAGTAGGTGTTCTTGGTGTTCTTGGTGAAAGTGAAGAAGACTTGAAGATCTAACCAAAAGAGAAGATTCATGGATGATGAAACATGGATCTTTCACTAGATAAAGCCATGTATCAACTAATCAATGGAAGGAATACTTACATCTTTGAAGATCAAGGTGAAAAACTTGATGATAGTTGAGAGAGAATCAGATTTCTTGGGGTGAAAGTGTGAAAGAATGAAGGAATAACTTATATATGGGTTTGGGTTTATAGCCACCTTGGGTGTACGGCCGTACACTCATGTGTACGGCCGTACACTCCTCTTGATGGAGTGTTTGGCCCGAATGCAACCCGATGAACCTAAGTTAACTCATCCCTAAACCCAAACCTTAAATGTACTAGGGCTTAGAACACTCAAACAACCCTAAACAATGCTAAAAGATAGCAGAAATGAGTCTGACTGTGATTGAATTGAATGTCTGTACAAGATAGAAATTTCGGGTTGTCACAGTATCTAACGTTCAACGGAAAAGTAGCGACTTAATTAAGAACCAATTATATTGATGTATATACCTCAAGATTAGTGGGAGGAAATTTACCATGCTCGTTGTATATATAGATGATAATCATTGGCGAGTAATAACATTGATATGTTGCATTAATCAAAATACGTGCTATCATATGTCACACCCCGACCGACGGCGGAAACGACGGGGTTACGACGTTACAACTGGATCACAGTCAACCACATATATTGAACATTTAACATACTTGAATTAATATATTACAAACTTTTAAGTTTGGAAACGAAATTACAACATCATAATACTTCAAACACATAACGATAATATAAAACATGCCAAGTCTTTCACAAGAGAGAGGAAATATAATTTCCTTAGGACTGATGTCCTACCTTCGGCTTCTTACTTACCCGAGAATACACATTTTTAAAATACGTCAAAAAAAATTATTGTTGAGTTCCACAAGTTTTGACTCCATAATTTTATAAAAAGAATTTTTTATAAAACGTAGAATGTTTATAAGGAAAAGTTTGTGCAAGAACATGACCAAAAATGTTACCGATATGATTTATGTGAAACTCATACTTGCAATCCGATACAAGTAATCATGTTAATTTACTTATAATGAATAAGTAAAAATCAACATATTTTTATGAAGTGGAATATTAAGTGTTTATTCTATATAAATAAACACTAACAATTTGTTCAACATTCTACATGTGAATCCTTATGCTACATACAACCTTATTTTAGTCTTTATTAGTATTTTTGTATCCGAGATTTTGTGGAATAATAACCGAGCTATATGACTTGAGCTTGCCTCCATGAAACAGAGTGAAAAATTGGTTGATGTTTATTGTCCTAACGATGCTTCATCGACGTCGTAAAAAAAAAGAGTAAGATAAAAAACCAGAAGTTGTCGTCCCTTTTGTCTCGTCAAACGATGGTTGTAGTTAGCAATAACAAATGGAGGTGTCAACCCATGTAGATCTGTACACACATTCTTCGCTCACAAAACATTAACTTTTATTATAGAGGACTTCCGAAATACATGATTTATTTTTTTCTACAAAATAAGATTAATATTGATATAATTTTTATATATGTTTTTTTTAGTTAAAAATGATATTGGGTTGGATTTCTAACATTTTTTGAAGATCAATATCTTCGAGCTCGTGTTTACTAGGTCCTATAAAACAATATTAGTATTTTATCTTTGTTTTTTTTTTTTAAATTAATATAATCTTCCACCATGTTAATCATCTCAAATTAATGTTTTCCCCCACAAGATATAGAGATATTCTTCAACCGTGAACCAAATAAACGAACTCTAAAACATTTCAGTTGTGGTTTTGTTGATTTCATCAATTGATATAACATTCAATATGTCTTCATAGTTTCTTTGAAGAGCTTGAGAGAATATAAAAATCACGTGGAGATAAAAACACATAATATGCACCATCATATGCTAAATTGAATGAAGTAGGACGGGAAGCACAGAGGATCTGGTGAGGAAATAAAAAAAAGTAGTTGAGTAATTGTTACTTTCTAATAAATTCAAGGTGGAAAGTTAATATTTCTAAACAAAAACAATAGTGACGGATATTTTTATTTTTTTGCGGATTCACCTTTAGATCATTCAAATCGGTTACAAATTAAAACATAGGGGAAGTGACATTTTTTGTTTATTTGATGAAAATAATCAACGTCACGTATTTTCGAGAGAAGAATGGAGATTAAAGAAGGAAAGTAGCTTTGAGAAGTTGCCTAGAATCAAAATATATGGTGAGACATACCATTGATGGTTACATCTACCTCTGAAACCACAATAAATATATCTTTTGCTGTATATAACACTCTTTGCTTCCCTCACCACACTCCATAACACTGTTATCATCTCCGACATATGGCTACCGCCTCTCACCCTCCCTCCGCCACGATTCAAATCGAACAACCGTCAAAACTGCCAGATTTTCAGGCGAGTGTCAAACTGAAGTACGTTAAATTAGGCTACCATTACTTGATTACCAATCTTTTCACTCTTTTCTCCTCCATCTCATTGTTGTCACGCGTCCACGCCACCCAACTGAATTTGAAGATGTCAAGAACCTCTACGCTCACCTGCAATTACCACTTCTTCGCCGTCTTTGCCGTGACTTGTACGGCCGTGTTCGGGTTCACACCTACCGTACGACCCGACCCACACGTTTTCTCGTTGACTATTCGTGCTACCGAAGCCGGGACCACTGAAAGTCTTCTCATACCACGTGTTTATGGACCATTCGAAACTTCACGGCGCCTTCAAAGAGCCGTCGCTTGAGTTTCAACGTAAGATTCTTGAACGTTCCGGTCTCGGAGAGGAAACTTACCTCCCGGCTGCGCTTCATGCCATCCCGGCTGTACCATCGATGGCAACTGCTAGAGAAGAAGCAGAGGAGGTGATGTTTGGAGCTTTTGACAATCTTTTCAAATCGACGAAAATCAATCCGAAAAACATCGGGATTTGGTGGTTAATTGCAGTCTTTTTCAATCCAACTCCGTCACTAAGCTCCATGATCGTTCACAGATACAAGCTCCGAGGAAACATTAAGACATTTAATCTGAGCGGGATGGGTTGCAGTGCCGGTGTGATCGCCGTTGATTTAGCAAAGATGCTACAAGTTCACCGAAATACGTACGCGGTGGTCGTCAGTACAGAGAATATCACCCAAAACTGGTACTTCGGTAATAAAAAGTCAATGCTGATCCCAAACTGTCTTTTCAGAGTCGGTTGCGCCGCCGTGCTTTTATCAAACAAGTTCCGCCGATAAACGCCGGTCAAAATAAAACTCCTCCACGTCGTCCGTACCCACTACGGCTCCAAAGACACTGCTTTCAAATGCGTTTTTACAGATCAAGACGACGCAGGTAACACCGGAGGTCTCGCTTTCCAAAGACTTAATGACTGTCGTCGGCGGCGCATTGAAGTCAAACATCACCACATTAGGCCCCTCGTACTTCCAATCAGCGAACAACTTTTATTTTTCGTCAACCTCGTCGCAGAAGACTCATAAACTCAAAAATCAAACCATATTTACCGGATTTATAAGCTGGCGTTTGATCATTTCTGCATCCACGCGGCGGCGGGAGGGCGGGTGGTGATCGACGAAATGGAGAAGAATTTGCAGCTGACGGAGGAGCACGTTGAAGCGTCCCGGATGACGTTGCCCGGTTCGGGAACCCGTCATCAAGCTCGATTTGGTACGAATTGGCCTAACAGAAGCTAAAGGGAGAATGAAGAAAGGGAACCGGGTTGGCAAATCGCCTTCGGAAGCGGGCTCAATGCAACAGCGCGGTCTGGGTGGCTGTTCGAACCGTCGCACCATCGACTGATAATCCTTGGGAAGATTCCGTTGATAAGTACCCTGTGAAAATGATATATTAATTTTATTTATTAGTTTCGTTAGTATTATTATATAAGAAAAAAGAAATGGTGTGTTTACGATGTCGTTCGGTAGAACTTAGAAGGTCTATTTTAAGTTTTGATTATTTTGCTAGGATTGGAGAAGCAGTGCGTCAAAGGGATTTATTGTAATTCAAATTTACTTAAAGTGATATTAATGAGTACCATATTCATGTAAAATAGTTTTATCGTACAGTCAGAGTTGGTAGAGAGTTATTGACAAATGAATAGGGCTCATATTTTTTGGTACGGACTAAAATTTAATTTACCACGGAAATAACTTAATTCAAGTGACAATTTTGAATGGTCCAAAAAACATAGTATCAAATAATATCATCTAATGACAAAGACAAACATTAAAGAGGCGTAGAGGCGGGGAACCATAACACTGAACCAAAAGCAAACTAAAGAGGCGTAGAGAGGTGGAACCATAACCACTGAACCAAAAGCAATGTTTACTCCTGCCAATGAAATCTATCCAAAAACTTAAAAATGCGTATTTTTTTTGCTTTTGTAGGGTTTTTTTTCTTGTTCTTTTTCTACTGTAACGTTTACTAACTTATAGAATCAAAAACTCAAAATATATTTTGATATCTGTAAAAAAAAATTGTTAACCATTTGTCCATTTAACAATACAATTAATAATTGATTTTTTTCATAATAGATTATAAGGGTGTCCATCAATATTTTAAATGGTGTTCGTCATAAAATATAATATTATTTCAAAAGAAAAGCTTTCAAAGCCTTAATAAAAAATAATTATGTGGTTGTAAAAAAGCTATGTTTTTAGTTAAAAATGCTTTAAACTTACACCAATGTATAATAGGGGGCGTTGATGGGTGGGCAAAGTGGTAGTTGTATGGATCTAATTTTTTTTCATTATATCTTATATATATTTTTATTTAAAATAAAAAACGTATAATACCGATAAAGACCCTTTTATTCTAGTTCGTCCTGGGACTTTGAGCATATTTAATTCCTGAGAATCCGGTCATGTATAATTTATTAACATGTGTCGTTTATCTCTCAATTTAGTTATACTCCTTGTATAAATGTAGTTTTACATTGAATGATATAGACAATAGATTTTTCTTCGATTATATGGTATCAGAGATTTACCTCATACACTCGATTTTTTTTTCTGATGGCAACAATCGTTCCTCACCCCCTCTCAATTTGGCAACACCACCACCCGCCTACGCCCTCAACTTCCAGATACCATCGATTGGTGACAACCGTCAAATTCGGTCAAGTCAAAGTCAAAACAAAGTCAACAAGTCAAACCGGGTCAACTCCATAACCCTTGTATGTTAGGGTTTACGTTTATGTAATCACTATACAATTCGCTATTTTAATGAGAAATCATCATTTGGAAAGTTCATGTGTTGATTTTCCTTAGCCTTAACAGTGCTAAACAACGAACCCAAAGCGATAAAACACTATTGCACAATCATCGGGATTGTGTACGACACTAAACACGGTTTAACGGGGTTTCGAACCTTACGTTGTGAAGCCGGACACTCAATTAATCACAAACGAAACCTCTCTAAATCGTTTCACTCTATCTCTTTCTATTTGAAATCTCTCCCCCATCTCTCTCAAAAGTTACTTAACTTTTTGTAATCATTTGGGTCATATCGACCCTTAACCGGGTCAAAAATCGCTTGAACGGGGTAAAAAACGGGTAAAATAGCCTTATGGACCTGGACTGAGCTTCAGGACCGAAGCCTCTCATCCGAGGCCTCGGATCCGAAGCCTCTCATCAGGACCGAAGCTGAAGCCTCTCAGGCGACCGAATCCGAAGCCATCAGACAGCAGCCTCGCATGCGAGGGTCCGAATCGGCCTCCATGCGAGGGGTCTCGCAGACGGCCCCTTTTTACCGGTTTTTCGACTACGACTTCGTTTTAACTCGTTTTAACTCCGTTTTTCATTATTTAACGTGAGATTTTCACCCAAAACTTTATTTATAAACTAAGGCCCCAAAATATATAAATCTCCAGGGGTTTTTTATAAAAATATATTAAAAGAATTAGTGGGTGAACTAATATTATTGAAGGAATATTTGTTTTTCCTTAATTTATGGCAAAAGCAAACCACCACCACCTCACTCTATGATCAGCCACTCTTTCCCACTACCCCTTGTCTCCTTAGTGGACCTTTACACCCAATCTCCAGCTTCCCACGTTCTAAGAGCTGGAGGATTGATCCTCTCTCCTCATTCTCCATAAAGTTCTTTCATTCTACACTTAGCAACCAAAGGACACTCTCCAAAATTCTCTCATCTTTTCTCTCAACTTCAAGGCTTTCTTCAGGGATTTCTTTCTTCAATTAGTAAGTATCTTCATCATTCATATAATTATTACACTCCATTCTACTCAAAATCATTGATATCTACACAAATTCCATCTTATTCGGTGTTAGATTCTCGAATCATCAAGACATCTTCTTAGTGTTCTGGGTTGAATACTTCCTCTCTCTCACTTTCATCTACTGAAACCACATAAGGTGAGTTCATACCCCTACATTACATGTTTTTCTTAAGTTTTAAGGGGGGAATACAAGTAAAATCATCAAGAACACAATTAAACGTTTTTCTATCAGATTACATCAGAAAAGATGAACTTCGATCACGGACTGTTTTGGGCAACTTAAATATTTTAGTTTTCAAAACTGTTCCAGGTGCAAGTAGTTCAAACTCTTAGCTTTAAAATGGCTACTTGCACATCTCCATATGATTTTTCTACAATTTATGGTGATTTTTACAAAACTGTCTGTCATTTCAGAGGCAAACCCGGACTAGTCTGTGATTAGAACATTTTCACCTCTGTTAGAGATCACTAAAAATCATGATAAAATTTACGAACAAACTAGACTCATATTCCCAACTCTCAGAATTTGCGGATTTGGATTTAGAGCTTTGATGATTTTTCTATAAATTTTCTAAGAACAGTAACAGAAACTGTATTCAACGAAAAGTGTGCTGTCAATTTCATTTCACATTGTAACATGTTGAGCAAGGTTATATCTTTATGTGATTATATGTTATTGCAATATATGACATTTATCTTAATATTTAGACACACATCAGTTTACAAATGGATTTGGACATATAAAATATAAAGAATAACAAGTGATTATAATCAAAGTACAACCGATACATTCAAACATTTAATAAACTATTTTGAATATAGTTTGCATACATTACTACGTACTACCCTTGGTTGATAAACTATAATAGGTATAGTTTATGATACATTACATAACACATACATTTAAAAAGGGTACATTTATACAAAGGATATTTCATTAAGCAAGGTACGGCCATACGGTACCAAGTTTTCATAACACGTAATTCCGTTAATGACTTTGTGAGACATTTACTTCAAATTACCATTAAGTCCTGTATTGTAACCAGAGTCTCCTTGAGGGAGAGCGTGATAGTTGTGTATAGATCTATATTGGTTTGACAAACCCACACCTAAACTGCATGCAACAGTTAGACCGATAGGTCTGGTCTGGGGTGACAAATGTCATAACATTTCCGACGCCTGAAGAACGTCGTTTTAGGCAACCTTGGTCATAGTATGGTTATAATAAACTCACATAAAGTATTAAAAACATTGGAATTTACGGGAACTTCATTAAAATTTAACGAGTTTATGTCGATTTAAATTTGCATTGTTTTACTATAAATATGACAAATTACTTGTACATTTCGGTCTTTGGGTTTTAAGACTACATTTACACATTAAGGAAAATATTGAATTTTCTAACACAAATACTACTTTTACAAACGAAAGGCTTTTAATAATACCAACAAAAGCTTATGAACTCACCAACCTTTGTGTTGACACTTTTTAAACAACTTGTATTCTCAGGAAATCATTAAACAGGTAACCAAGTGCTTTTGAGGATGGGGCGCTAAGGCGTCTACTATTTCATATTTTGTCAACATATTGTAATTGATTCGTAAACATGTAATTCATACAATGATGTCACTTTTTCAATTATATATATGTTGGTTGTGTTTGCTTCAATTACTATTATAATTGTTGTTATGATACTATACATGAAGTCCTCCACCCCCGGACGTTTCCGCCATCCTTGGTTTGGGGGTGTGACAGATTGGTATCAGAGCACAGTTTATGTGAATTAAGTATATCAAACCACATAAGATATACAAACTATAACACAATTGGGACTAATAGTCTCTGATTTGTGCATTTTTCAAATAAATATACTCTTAGAAAATAAATGATTTTCTTGATTAAAGTATACATACATACATTACATGCTCGCATGGTATCATAACTAGCGAAAACATAAAGCAAAAGAAGAAGAGTTGAACATTTTGAGTATGCCTTAGTATGTGGATTAAATCTGGGAAGGATATAGCCTGATCAACTATATCTGTCCGGGAATTGACTTGCATATACCGGGGGATGGTCAGGATGGGCAACAAATCTAACAAACCTAATAACACACTACAAAGGATACTTTAAGAACTCAAAACTAAACATTTACAAATACTATAGGAGTATTTTGTGTTACTATAATAAATTATCTGAGAATTAAATAGGTCTTTATTTATAGATCAATAGCTGCTAAGTGGATGCGCTAAGGTCATATGTAACTAAGATGCTATAGACTTAGAATTTATGTATCTTTGTTTCACTTCCTGTCCTTGTTTGGTTGTGGTCTTGGAGTTAGGGTCATCTATTCGAAGGACTATTATATCTTAATCACATATGACTGGTATGCACTTTGCAACTAATTAAGTAACCGATAAAGATCATTTTAAATATAATATATTAATTATGTCCCGACTAAATTAGTATATGTGAAACTTTTAGAAACAGTCATATACTTGGAAACAAGGAAACTCAAATAAAATATTTTATACTTTCATTTTACCTCATAAC